GAATTACCTCTTCTCCTAGGTTCACGAAACGGTCGTCCATAAAATGCATTGCTGTTCTGTTGTAAGTAATCTTAAAGATTCCTAAATGCATCTACTTTCGGAAGGCCAAATAAAGTGGTTTTGCTTTCGCCTAGAAACACACAGCTTCTCCCTGACATGGCTGCTTCAACACTAACTGCTGTTCCTGAAACCACGCCTTCTTTCTTTGCTGCACATTTGGGCGGCATTATGCAAATATTTCCACATGGTGAGGTAGATATGTGGGGGCGTGTTAGAACGAGCCGTTTTAGGGGGGCGTGGCAGAGTCTTAAATTTGATAAAGAATATCTCTTTGGTTTTGAGACTTTAGTCTTTGCAACTTCAGGGATCTTATCTATGCACAATCAGCTTGTAACACTCCAAAGAGAAAGGAAAACTTGAAATCGCATCATATGACCCCTTTAAACGCCTTAATATTGCATTTATTGTATTTCATTGTGACGACACCCTTTGAATTTGGTGAGCAAGCGATGCTACATTTTTCCAAATCTGTTCTGACTCATCTATTTTAAAATATTTTTTGGGTGAACTGTTCCTTTAAATAATGTTTTTGTCTTTCCTTCCTGTGACAGGACCAGCCTGAGAGAAACCAGAGAGAGTTTACTTTGAATTATTGCCAGTTATAAAGTTATATTACCAATTATAAAGAAAGATTGTATGCGTAATGTGGAACTTGAAATATACAATGGGACTCTTATTTTGAAATGTCTATGCTTTACTACTTCCAGCTGCCCATTAAAGAAGGTGAGGGAGATAAAAAATGCACTCTTACAATCATCTACAACATATTACAATCTAAACACAATTAAGTAAACAATGTAATTCATCAACAGTAGATCATAAGCAATTACTTGGCATACATGCGTTATATTCATTGATTGAGAATGACTTTGAAATGCATAGTGCTCACATTTATTTAATCAGATCAGAGCCTTTTGAGGTTTAATATCATATTAGCCTGTTTTTCCTCTTTCTTAAGACCTCTTAAATTATAATAAACACTTTTGTTATACCATTTTGTCTCATTTTTAAGGACCACAGATCTAATAAAAACCTGTTTATATACAGTGGGTAAAGAAAAGAATCACTCCCTTTAAAATAATCACATTTTGTTGCTTTGCAGCCTGAAATGAAGATGGACACAGTTTTTGTTTTATCCAGCTGTATTTACTCAGTGCAGCTTATAACATCCAAGTGAAAGATATAACACCAACATGTCAGAAAAACAAAAATAATCAGAATCACTGAGTTGGAAAAAGGATCAGCCCCTTTATTTTTAATTATTTATTACTATTATTATTTTATTTTATTTTTTTCTGACATGTTGGTGTTATATCTTTAACTTGGATGTTATAAGTTGCACTGAATAAAACAAAAAACTGTCCGTCTTCATTTCAGGCTGCAAAGCAACAAAATGTGATTATTTTAAAGGGGGGTGATTCTTTTCTATACCCACTGTATGGTTAATTTTGTTAATTTGTTAATTTAGAAAGATTGCTGAATTTTACATCATCAATCTATTTAAATTTCACTTTAAGTTTTTCTTTTCCTGTGTAGGTCAGAAATATTTTTTCAACACTGTAACACGCTTGATTTGCAAGGTTAAATATATAATTTCTGCACCATAATTTATGACTTTTTTTAAACAGGTGCCATCAGCCTGTCTGTCATCTTTGATAATTATTTTTTGCCTTTCTAGGACCACAGCTACCTCAATAGCAAGAAAAGGATGTCTAAGAGAAAGACGAGGGACCTCCCTTTTGTGAAGCTTCTAAACATTTCCATCACCCTGTCCCCGTACCTGAGCGTGGACTCGCAGCAGTTAAAAATAAATGATAAGATAAGTAAATAAAACTGGAAAAGAATAAAAATAAATGTAAAAATAAATACAGAAAATAATACATATAGGAAAAGTCATAAAAATAAATTCAAGATTAAATTTGATTACAAATGAACTATATTTGTTTTTATCAAGTCATTTATTTCTTTATTTTCCTGTTATTTATTTATTTATTTATTATTTCTGCAGGTTTGGTCCTCCATAAGATACTAGATCGCTACATTATATTCCCCAGCAACGAGGTGGTAAAATCACTGTTTCTGAAGTAATTGTTTGTACAGAGAGACGCGCAGACGCAGCTAACGTTAAACACAAGTTAACTGTCGTCTCTCTCTCTCTCTCTCTCTCTCTCTCTCTCTCTCTCTCAAACGATCG